GATAGATAGATAGATAGATAGATAGATAGATAGATAGATAGATAGATAGATAGATTGATAGATAGATAGATAGATAGACTGAAAAAGCAAAAATGTCCCAAATATGATACAAAATGTTTACAAATATTTTTTTTACAAAACAAAACAGGGCTAGTAGATAGATCATATATCAATCAATATACAAACACATCAAAAAATATCCGGGATAAGGGAAAAATATTTATCAATATTTTTTTTTTAAAAACAGATACAGTGGCAGCTAGATCTAATTAAAACATTTGAAAACGTTCCTCACCATGTACAATTCCCGCCCCCAGGAAATACGTCCCGGAGAAAGAGGTGGTGGTGAGCAATGACCTGCCCAAGCAGTTTGACCCACGCCAGAAATGGCCTAAGTGCGGCAGTCTGAACGAGATCAGAGACCAGGCCAACTGCGGCTCTTGCTGGGTTTGTCCATTTGTCGGATGTCTGTTTGTTTGTTTCTTGTTTGTTTTTTGTTTGTTTTTCGAGTGTGTTTAGTTATCTGTCAGTATGTCTGTCTGATTATGTATCTGTCTGTCTGTCTGTCTGTCTGTCTGTCTGTGTGTCTCTCTGTTTGCCTATTTATCGATCTATCGATCTATCTATCTATCTATCTTTCTATCTATCTATTTATCTATCTATCTATCTGTCTATCTATCTATCTATCGATCTATCTATCTGTCGATCTATCTATCTATCTATCTATCTATCTATCTATCTATCTATCTATCTATCTATCTATCTATCTACCTGTCAGCCAGCTAGCTAGCTTTACGTATGTGTGTCTGTATGTAGGCCTATGTCTGTATGTAGGTCAATCTATAAAATGGACTACAGTTTTTCTAGATAAGGGTGGTTAGTTACCAATTTTTGCACTTCAATTGCTTTCATCATCCCTATCTTGTTAAGGATACACAAAGGCTTCTCGCGCTGACTCCTTGAAAACAAAAACCTCCCTCAACGCGTGACTGTTTTTCTTTGGAGCTCGAAAGCCCTTGTCGGTGTTTATCGTTTATAGTGTAATTAAGCAAAGTCCACCTCTGTCTTTCCAAGTAGTAGTAGTAGTAGTAGTAGTAGTAGTAGTAGTAGTAGTAGTAGTAGTAGCAGTAGTAGTAGTAGTAGTAGTAGTAGTTTCTTTATTATTATGTAACGATGTGAATTGGGAATGGATACTTTGAAACAAGACATCTGATTTAAAGTCTGTCTTTAATAGAAAAGAGCCAGTTTGGGTAGGTGGTCATGTTAAAGTGGGAAGTGAGTATGGATTAGTAAGTAGCAGCACCTAATCGATCGGCTGTTCTTTGTCAATAGATTAGACCAGGCATAGACAAGCACGCCTATGCCGCAGATCGGATCAAGCGATTCTGAACAGCTTTACCTCGAAGACCACATCAGGAGACCTTAAGGGTGAAATTATCTGAAGTGTCCATGCTTTCAAAAGTAGGGCTAAAACTGTCACTAACTGCTGTGCAAGAGCATTTCTTGCGATAAAAATAATCCAAGGTCTGTCGCTTCCATTTTTTTCGTAACCTAATTCAATTTTTTTCAAGACATCCAGTTTTGTTTTTATTAGTTATCATTCACCGTGGGCCACACTGCGTCGACTTGCGGGCTGGGTCTGACTCATGGGTGAAATGAAATGGTGAAATGGTGTACGAGTATAGATCAACACGATTAGGTTACTTAAGAGGCGAGACCTCCGAGTTTAATATCCAACTCCGAAAGGACCGGGCCAAACGGGAAATTCGTGTAATGTACCTTTCCTAAGGACACAACGTCGAACCCACGAACCCGCAGTCTTACGATTAAGGGTCCGGTAGCTTATACGTGTGTTAGGCCCATACGTGTGTTAGGTCCATCACGGCACAGGATCATGAATAAAAACGTTCTAAACAATCATAGTTTTAAAATGGGCTAAAACAGCACCTGGACATGGATGGCTGGTGCCTCTGTAAATAATTCATTGATGGTCAGTTTTAAAATGCCCTGATAGCGATTTAACGCGGGCAGTTGGAGAGGGGGGAGGGGCGACGATAGGTCCTACTTCTTTATTTTTCTTCTGCTGTTTCTATCTGTCTGTCCCGAAACTAAATGACCACTATTGCATTGTTGTGCTTCTCTTTACTCAAACAAAGAGATTCGACCCAGACTTGCCCTCATCGCAATTTAGACTGAAACCGGTTAAGCGTCGGTCAGCTTTTATGGTGCAAATTTTAATAGCCCATCTTTTTAAAGATAATGTTTTTTAATTGACGTTTCTTAATCTGTGCTATTGGTCGAATGTGCGAGAGAATCATTTCGTTTACTTTCAGATTCTATTTTTTTTTTAAAGATTAGGTGTATAATAATGGTACAATATTTTAAAGAATGAAAGTGTCTGCTCTCTCTCTCTCTCTCTCTCTCTCTCTCTCTCTCTCTCTCTCTCTCTCTCTCTCTCTCTCTCTCTCTCTCTCTCTCTCTCTCTCGTAAAAAATAAAATGCTTACCAATGTAAGATATTATCTAAAATGCCTTCTCTATTCTAGTTTCTCTTTTAGGGAAACATAGCATTGGCAGTCTTTCACCGGCATCTCTGCTCTGGTGTAGCTGTTAGGCGCTCCGCCGTCGAGTGCAGAAGACCCGAGTTCGATACCCGTGTGGAGTGAATTTTTTATCAATTAGTGTTCGGTCTTTCTGCTTGGTCGTTCTATCCCTCTCTCTGCCTGGGCTGGACCTCACCGGCAGGGCCGACGCTTACGGCTTGATTTACTACCATTGTTTCCTCATGGCAATCTTTGTTCTAGTCTAAAAAAATATTGTGGGTAGTCCTGGCTTGTAGCTTAAAGTGCCCTTTTTTATGGTATTTTTTTCACTTAGGCGGTAAAATATGCTAGCGTAAACATGAAATTTCATAATAACAATATTACCATTTGACCGGTCTGACTTACATAATTTGCACATTCGGAAAAAAAGTCTTTTTGTGTATCATTTTGCTTAAGAAAGCACTGACTGGCATAGTCAAAGTAGCCCGCTTCTTCTCTTTCCTTCTAAGGCGTTGTCCACCCTCTGCGGGGTGTAACCAGAGAGTTTATACTGTCTCTGAAGTAACCCTCCAATAATGATGTCTACTCTGCTTTATCAGCTGTTTTCCGTATCGAAGTTGAACCCATCTGCTCTTTGGTGTCACCTTGACACGTTCTTTCTGGTCTTTCTCTTGATCTAATAATAATAATAGATAGCATTTGTATAGCGCATATCCCCGCTCAATAGCAGGCTCTATGCGCTTTACACTATAATATTATTACCCCAGCAGACCATAGAGCACTCCGAAACATTCTCAGCTTCCCGGGAAGCATACAGACTTCAACAAAAGTTAAGGACCACTTTGACAGACAGTCCTAATTTTTTTAAATATCCGAAACAAAGACAGCAAAGAATGTTTCAAAACTGTTGCTCTGAAAGTGTTAATGGGTTACCAACGCGAACTGCAAAGCCTCCTAAAGGACCAAAACCACCACGTGCAGCACAGAAATCCTCCAGGAATTTAAGCCAAATTTGCTGTTTTTTATCGACTTGTGTGCCACACCAAGAACTTTCCTCAGTTTAAATTTCTGGTGCACGTCATAAACGGATGTCCGGTCTCGAACTGTGCTCACTTTGGTGGCAATGTAAGCCACCGTTTGCGCAAAATCCGGTATCGCATCAACATACCTCCAAGGCGAAAGCTGAGAGACTTTGATCGTTCCAGAGCTATGGCATGGCTGGAGGATGGAGTTGGAGCCCAAGAAGTTACCAGAAGGCTCGCAGTGTCACACTCTGTCATTGTCCGCCTGAGGCAGCACCATCACACCACTGAATCAGTCCAAAAACGCCCTCGTGCAGGTCGACCCAAGAAGACCACTCAGAGTGTTTGCAAGTGGTCCCTAACTTTTGTTGAAGTCTGTATTTCCTTCTCCTTGCCTCATGTTTTTGTCCATCTGTTGTCTTTCACTCTGCTTATTATGTGGCCAGCTCATTACCATTTTTGTCGGAGTGTAAATTATGTCCTAACTCAAAAACAAACAAACAAATATGTGTGCAGCGCACAGGTTCATGGAACACTGAATCATTTTTTCAAATGTTTGTAACCGCTGGTGTCCATTTTATGCACTTTAACAAGTAAAGATTAAGCTCGGAAATTTGAGATGCTCAATTATGCCAATCCCTTCTCTATCACAATTAGTTAGTCTCACTGTCAGGAGCAGAAGCTGAAAGTCATCATAACGGCAATTTCTTCGAATATTCGTTTCCCAGGGGTTTTATGCACCCCCGCATAATTTAGCAAAATTTGATCACTTTATGCATAATTTCTGATTATTTTCCTTTATCATTCTTTGTTAGAATTCACAGAATCGCATAATTTCACAATTGTTGGAGCTCAGTTTGCATAATTTCAGACTTTTTTGTGTGCATAAAAACGTGGGGACAGTTATTAAGAGAGTCCCCTCAGCAGATACGTCATCAGACATTAACGGACGAATTATTAATCAAATATCTGTCCACTCTCCAGGCATTCGGCGCCGTGGAGGCGATGACAGACAGAATCTGTATCCACGGAGGAGGACAGGTGCATATCTCTGCTGAGGACCTGTTGGCGTGTTGTCCTATCTGTGGAATGGGGTGAGAGAGTGGATTTGATGATGTGAGGGGGGGGGGGAGTGTGTGGCGGAGCGGGCAGGATGGGACGGGGGTGGGATGGCGAAAGGGGGGGGGGGAGGGGTTGATCTAGAATAAATTTTGTGGCTGTTGTTGTATTTTGTTGTTGTTCTGTTGGGTACATTGATTGTGATTCTGTTATTGACCACATATTATTATTATTATTATTATTATTATTATTATTATTATTATTATTATTATTATTATTATTATTATTATTATTATTATAGTTATTATTAGATAATACTTTATTATTGTTATTGGTGTTCTTGTTATTGTTGTTCTTGTTTTGTTGTTGTTATTGATGTTGTTGTTGCTGTTGTTGTTGTTGTCGTTGTTTCTCTTCTTCTTCTTCTCCTCCTCCTCCTCCTCTTCCTCCTCCTCCTACTCCTCCTCCTACCCCTACCCCTCCTCCTTCTTCTCTCCTCTTTTTATTCTTCTTCTTTTGGAAATTCAAACCAGGTTTGTCCACATTATAAACTATCAAGGTACTGTCCTTGCTCTCGGCGTCCCAATGAAAGACAAGGAAAGATAAAACCGTAATAAATCGCTACCTTAGAATTACAAAGCTCCATCTGACATTTTTAGCGTTTTGAGTTACTCGGGCTATGAGGTTTGAAATCTTATGCTCTATCTACTCTATAAAATTGTAAGACGATTCGGAAGTAGATCTATTATTATCATCAAGATATTCAAAGATAAATATTGCATTTTTAAAAAGCTTGACATGATGTGAAACTCAAAGTCTTTGATTGACGTCAAATTTCTCAAACCTAGGTGCTGAGCAGATAGAACTTTGTAATTCTGAGGTAGTGAAATGGCTGAGCAATAATAATAATAAATAATAATATCATTATTAATAACTCTAGAATGCCGAAATACGGACCATCTGTCTTATTATTCTGTTGTTCTGGTGTCCAGCTGTAACGGTGGGTACCCTGCAGTGGCCTGGATGTGGTACAAGTTTGATGGACTTGTCACTGGTGGTCAGTACAATACCTCTCAGGTAAGTGACTGTCAGGCTTGACCATTTCAAAGGGGTAAATTCGCATGGTATTTATGATGAACTCTATAATAGTAGTTGGGTTTGTGTTCCTTTTAAGATTCTGTGATAGCTGTTTACAGCATCAGATAGTGCCGATATATACACTTGTACAACATGTGGACATGTTTCAGCTTCATCACAATGTCTTTTTTCAGTCTTTATCTCGGAGATCGTCTCATCCTGTTATCCCCCCCCTCTCTCTCTCTGTCTCTCTGTCTCTCTCTTTCTCTT